CAGAAATCAAGTAAGAAAGAAAGAAAGATTAGCAGAAAATTACATAAAAATGGATGATTTTACACAGGAAGGATTTTGTAAAACACACAGGAAGGGAATGAAGTAAAAACAGAGAAAAACAATTAAAAACTCAAAAAAACAACATATAAAGTTCCATTTATCAGCCTGAAAAAAATATCAATAAGGGATGTGTGTCTGGGAAGAGCGATTAAACAAGCGAGCGCCAACACTCGCTCATATACAGTGTGTGTGTGTGTGTGTGTGATGCTACTTAATTTATTGATTGAAGCAAATTAAGGAGTTATCTGTCGATTATTTGCATTTACACCTAGTTGGCAATGTGCCAAGTCTTATTTATGGTAGGTGGATTCAAATTCCAAATATCTGTGGTTGTGGAAAGGGGAAGAATTGAAGAGGCTATCTGTTCTTCAATATAGGTGTTTGCTTTCAAACTATTGTGTTTTTTGTATTCCTTCACGTTCCCAGTGGAACATATGGGGGGGGGCTTCAAGCTGGAGGCTTGAAGTTTCTGTAGCAGTGGTGATTATTTTTACAGGATGGGGTTGCTAGCCACCTCATGCCCAACCTTCTGGCTTAGCGAGGTTTAGGAGTGCGTCCAGTGGCCGGGGATCGAACCCCGAACCATGTGCATGATCGGTGAGCATCCTAACCATTGTGCCACCGACGCATGTCGAAACTATTGTGTTAAATGGTATTATATAATGAGTAATATTGAGGTTAGGTGTGGAGGAGGTCAATTCAGTTGTTGGCTACTACGTGTGTTACACAACATGTATGTCGAGTCATTGACGAGTAATATTCACTGACATATATGATTGGGTTGGAAAAGCGACTGAGAAAAACATGGCATCAGTCCATGTATCCTATGTCTGTTGGTTTGAGGCACGTTGGACCGGCGGGGTGGAGAAGGGGTTGTAGACTGTCTCACTGAGATCCTCGAGTCATTTTAATAAACATGGCTCAAAATCGTTCTGAGTGGTATTCATTCTTGGTGATCTCTCAGATTCTTTAAATCCTCATTATTCTTCACATTAAAAATTCTCTCTGCCAGACACTTCCGTTCATTATAGTTTCTTTGAATTTTCATTGTGTTTGTGCGTTGTATGGAGTATGGTGACTTGAATTGTTCCACTTTTTGTAAAAGGTTATAGGTTGAAAAATCAATCTGATATCTAAATAGTTGCAAGATGAGTGTGCTCAAACCTAATTAGTCACAATTCCACTCACACACATCGACTGAGATGGTTAGGACATGTGTTACGTATGCCTTCCTCGACGGGCAATGTTACCTGACATAGGGTCAGGCTGGGAAAGAGCTAGCACGTGGTGGTCAAACCAAAACATGGCTTCATCAGTCAATGAAATCCACAACAGTTAGTTTAAGCCAGCCAGTCACGTAGGGAGGTGTAGACTTCCTGACTGGCTGGTTGGGGTCCTCGGGATGGTAAAAACCAATGAAGGCTGGAGACAATCGGTGATATGGCTCAAAATCGTCCTCAATGGCTAGCGCAGATACATCCACTCCCTGTGACTTATAATTTTCAATGAAACTATATTGTTCTTCGTTATTACTATTCCTTTTGTCTTATATCCCTGTCTACTATCTCTATTATGCATTTCTTCTACTTTCTTCTCTTGCTTTGTGTGCTACAAGGAGGGAGTGTGGCGACTTGAACTGCTGCACATCGGTGTAAAGTTCTATGTTGAAAACAGACAGACAGACAGACACTTTGTACTATTCCATAACTTATTGCTAATTGATCCTCAAGTTCGAGTTCCACTCTGCCTATTTCACTCTGGGTCACTTACTAGTGTTATCAACTCTTACACAATAGTCTAGTGTACATTTAACTCAATCATAACTGACTAACTAAATAACTAATCGTAGCTGTGATAAGGCGAACTAGTTAGAGAACCAGGGAAGTTTTCATACTCTGTCGATTAAGCATTCCAGTTTGTGGCATATGATTCTTCTCACTCCCAAAATTTCTGTAGAATAATCCTTTGTTCACCTTGATTGGTCTGTAGGTAGGTGGTAACCAATGTCATGCTTCTAGTCCTTGGTGTGATGCAGACTGAATTCTGTGATAGGTCAAGTTTGCAATGGAGTTTCCAAGCTGGGTTGCTTCTAGCCATTGGGGTGCACTTTGATTTAATGGTAGATGGTTGGAGGCAATCAGCAGGTAGCCTTGTCTGACTGACGTTTCGTGCTTGTTAGCTGGTACTCGTCAGCACTGCCTATCTATAATCTTGAAGAAATTCATGTCCCCTCTGAGATTCGAACCTCCTTCACCCAGTCGTACAGTCAGAGATGTTACAACTAAGCTATTTGAGCTCATGATTTACCTCCTGTAGGCCTGTAATGGATACTTTGATTGGTTACCAGGATGTGACCAATGTCACATTATTATATTATTATTATTATTGTTCCCTTGGGTTCCTAGTGGAACATAGGGCTTCAACTGCACGCCTCCACTTGCTTCTGTCTTCTGCTGTACTTTTCACTTGCATCCATGTTAGTCCATACTGTTTCAACTCCTCTTCACACGATCTCCTCCATGTCACCCTTGGACGTCCCACTCGCCGCTTCCCTTTCGGGTTCCACTCGAGCTATGGCCTGACGCGCGATGTCACCCAGCGGCCTCCTCAGCGAGTGTCCAATCCATCTCCACTTCTTTCTCCTGCATATTTGTTGAGCGATTGGTTCTTGTTTTGTTTGTTCCCATAGTTTCTTGTTGGTGATTCTTTCCGGCCATCTGATCTTCAGTATAGAACGAAGACAGCTGTTGATAAAGGTCGGCAACAGGCTGCTGGAAATATTCTTTGTGACCCTCCAAGTTTCTGATCCATATAGAAGAACTGACTGACTTGACGTTTGTATTGAAAATCCGAATTTTGTTGTTGATGCAGGCTGAGTGACGAAGATTTCCAGATTGGTTTCAGTTTGATGAATGTGTTTCTCGCCTTCCCGATTCTCGATTTGACATCCTCGTTCGTCCGTTCCTCCTGTAGTTGAGACAATGCTCCCTAGATAAGTGAGTGAATGAAGTTACCTCTCTCAAATCCCTCCCGTTGATGGTGATTGTCGCTGGATGCTGCTGCTGTTGTTGTTGGTAGATTATTTTCATAACCTCCGTGTTGTCTATGTTCACCTGGAGTCCTGTCTTTGCTGCTTCTTCGACCAGTTTGTCGGTTTTCGCTTGTAAGTCTTCGATTTTGTGTGACATCAAACATAAATCATCCACGAAATCCAGGTCTTCTAGGTTCTTCACGTCGGTCGAGGATATCCCTGTTTTCTTGTTTCCCATTGTCTGATGCATAATCCAGTCCAACACAATTAGGACTGAATTCTATTAAAGGTCAAGTTCGCAATGTCACCAAGTCACTATCCCAGTTCATCGTAGACTGCTCCCAACTATCTAATAGTAATCCCTGTTTTTATTGTACTTCTATTCTCTCAGGAAGGTGTTCATTTTTGACTACTACACCACTTTAGCTTGCAGAGTTTTTATTTGTTTGTTTGTTTCATTTCTCATTCTTTATGTCATAAATTATCGGTACACCATCGTCTGTACTCTCCCACTGTTGTTGGGAGTAGTAGGGTGGAGTAAGGTTGAAGGATGGATGAGAGCGTGTGAAAGGGAAGGGAAGGGAAGGGAAGGAAGTAGGCTATACATAATTTTATCATTTCGTGAGTTCCATATATTGCTGGGTGTGGGGGAGGATTAGTTTATTCTCACGACTCATTTTTCCTGTAGTTCTCATGCATAATATACTCAACTGTCATATAAGTAAATGAACACTACTCCTTATTACATCAATAATCCTAATGTGTCGACCTTTAAGGTTACAATGTTTCCCTCCTTCTAACTGGAGAAGATGCAGTTACATAGCTGCTAGATTAGTGATAAAGAGACACTAACGTCTCATTCATTATTCACATGACAACTGGGGATTATCTGTAGGGATTACAGCTAGCTGTCTGTAGGATCTTGTAGCTCAGTTGTTAGAGTGCCATGCTGGTAGTGATGTGCTGGTTGCTGGTTCATATGGCTGTGAGACCTGGCCATTGAGAGCGGAAGACATGAAAAGATTAGCTGTGTTCGATCATAGGTGTCTGCGTTCTATCTCCCACATGAAGTGGTATGATAAGGTGAGCAATATTGAGGTTAGGCGTCGAGTGCTAGGTAAGGAGGGGCAAATCAGTCGGCGAGACTGTGAAATTACATCGACTGAGGTGGCTAGGACATGTGTTACGTATGCCCAGTCATCGCCTTCCTCGACTGACGGGAAATGTTAGCTGATATAGGGCCAGACTGGAAAAGAGCTAACGGTGGTCAAACGAAAACATGGCACCAGTCAATGAAATCCACAACAGTTAGTCTAAGCCATCCACGTAGGAAGGTGTAGACTTCCTGGTTGGGGTCCTCCAAACGGTAAAAACCAATGGCTGGAAACAATTGGTGACATGGCTCAAAATCGTTCTCAATGGCTAGAGCAGATGCATCCACTCCTTGTGACTTATGATTTCCAATTAAACTGTTTCGTTCTTCGTTATTACTATTCCTTTGTCTCACACCTCTGTTTACTGTCTCTGTTATGCATTTCTCCTACTTTCCTCTCTTCCTTTGTGTGCAACATGGAGTGTGGCGACTTGAACTGCAGCACATTGGTGCAAAGTTCTATGTCGGAAACAGACAGACAGGGACTCGTGAATCCTGACTTCTGCCAATATCATCGGTGGTGATCCTGATAGGGTCGTGGATGCCGACACTGCTGAAGAGTCCCAAACTGCGTTGTGGGGGGGAGTGGGAAACAGCTATCTAGCACTGTCTACTGATTTCCCAGTAGTTCTCTAACTCATGTTATGAGTGGTGATCAAATCTGAAATACACACACACATACACATTACTCGGTTAACTAAATTAATTACCACACACACACACACCTCTCTAATTAAGTTATTTTATTGAGTTAAAATGAATTTTCTTAATTTTTCAACAACAAAAAACGAAACACACCTACAAGCTATAACACATCGAAGTATGCGAAATACCTACATGCTTATTATTATTATTATTATTCACATCCTCGATAGGTGGTGAGGGTGAAGGTGGAATGTCAAAGTGGTTGCTGATGAAACTCTATTATGTCTCACTCTGTATGTATTTATAGTTATAATTGACATTCCACTTTTTTCACACACACACACACGCACGCACACAACACAGACATACACATACACACACACACAATCAAGAAAACTTAGGCGAAAAGGAAAGCAGACAGTATTCTTTTCTCAAGTTTATCAACTTTATCAAATATTCTGGGTGTTGATGGTATTAGTACACGTGGGCGGGACAGGTCGGTGGCGGGGGCTGGAGATAATATTATTGAATTCCTCCCTGCATGTGTGCGTGTGTGTGCAGTTTTAGTTAATGAAATTGATTTTCTGTTTTTAGTGAAGTCTTTTTTGTGAATTCCAATGAATATTAATATTGATTGAGTAGTTTGTAGTGCTTGTGTGTTGCTATGCCAAGACACCTGACAAGTGTGAGTTTGCGTGTGTGTGTGTGTTTGTCTGCATGTAAGCAAACGGAAACCATTAGTAGTAGTAACCGAGTGATTTATTGGGATAGTTTAATAGTTTTCTGATCATCTGAGTCCTGTTATTTTAGCTGTCATTGTATATATGATACTCGTCAGAAGTGTGCTCTCACCAAACCCCTCACCTGTGATCCCTACAAGATCTCAAATTCGACTATTAATCTCTATCTCATTATGTTATGTTATAATCAAAAACCACTTGCATTTAGTAATGAGCGACACCTATTGTCTGTGAGGGCCAGTGATATTGCCTGGTTGTCCAAACTTCGGTTCTGTTCGGTTCCTCTGAACACCTTGAGCAGCAGTCTTCGTATGTTTGGCATGCGATTCGCCCCTAGAAAATGTCTGTCTGTCTGGATTCAACATAGAACTTGGCACCGAAGTGCAGAAGTTCGAGTTGCCACGTTCCAAATAGCACACAAAGGTAGACAAGAAAATGAGTGAAGATAATCAATAGAATTTTGACAAGTATAAGAGTGAAACAGAATGAGTAATGGTAGAAAGGAATATGAAAGATTACAGAGGCTGAATACATCTGCGTAAGCCATTGACAACGATTTTGAGCCATGTCACCTATTGTCTCCATCCATTGATTCTTAGAGTCCCGAGGGTGGGTCCCAACCCGGAAGTCTGCATCTCCCTACCTGACTCAGTTTAACTGTCAAGGATTTCATGGATTGATGAGGCCATGTTTTTGTTTGGCCACCACTTACTCTTTTCCAACCTGCACCTATATCAGTCAGCTAGTAATGCCCGTCCGTCGGGGGAGGCGATAGTTAGGCATGCGCAGTACGTGACCTAGCCATCTCAATCTATGTAACTTTGTAGCCTCTTCGATTGATTTTCCCTCTTTGTCCAACACTCTACGCCTAACGTCAACATTACTTACCTTATTATACCACCTAACGTGAGAAAGAGATCGTAGACATCTATGATCAAAAACAGTCAACCTTTTCATGTCTTCAACTCGTATTGGCCATGTTTGAGAGCCATAGAGAAGGACGGAGCGAACTGTTGAGCAGTACACACGTCCCTTGGTTGATAGTCGGATGTCACGCCTACGCCAGAGATGGTGTAAGTTAGCGAAAGCAGCCCGAGAAGTTGTCATTCACAAATTATTGAATTTCAATTCAATGAATGAATGTGTTATGTATGAATATTATGACCTTGTAGACTACGAGCGAATCTAACTTAATGCGCTGGCTAATCTGTCCTAATCGCACGTCAACAACAACAACAGTACCGCCGGGCACGCAAGACAAAGAAAGAAGACTGGACTGTTGTAGAGACAGTAAAAGCTCTCGTATCAACGTCCAGTCTTCTTTCTTTGTCTTGCGTGCCCGGCGGTATTGTTGTTGTTGTTGACGTGCGATTAGGACAGATTAGCCAGCGCATTAAGTTAGATTCGCTCGTAGTCTACAAGGTCATAATATTCACATACATAACAAATTTGGCGACGGGTTTGCTCAAGATGGACCCACTGCGTTTAGAGAAACTAATGGAACAGCAGCTAAAAATGTTGGAAATGCTTGCTGGTCTACAGATATCACGCCCTGCCGATTCATCTACAGCCAACGACAGCATTGGTAGTAGCATCTCAGAATTCGTTTATGATCCAGATGCGAACGTGACTTTTGATACCTGGTTTCGCAGATATGAAGACCTATTTCGAGTAGACTTTGCGGATAAAGATGATGCCTGGAAAGTACGGCTTCTACTTCGTAAATTGGGAGCAGATGAGCTAGATAAATATTGCAACTTAATTCTCCCACAGAAGCCCAGCGAAAGATCATTCGATGAAACTGTCCATACCCTTCGTCATCAGTTTGGTGATCAGAGATCTTTATTCAACATTCGATATCATTGCATGAAACTAGTTCTGAACGAAAATGATGATATCCATACTCAGTTGGGTATAGTCAATCGCACGTGTGAACGTTTCAAAATTGAAATCGCTCTCAGAAGACCAGTTCAAGGTATTGATTTTCATTTGTGGTTTGCAGTCCCCCAAATTTGCTGACATACATAACAGAATGATAGTGAGGCAATCGGCCACAGGAAGCCTTGCGACTAGTTTTGATTCTTAGTTGCACCAAAAAATAACAGAATGAATGGTCGAAGGAGCTTGTCTCCTAAGTCGAAGATCTTGTATTCGATCCCTGGTTGGATCGTCGATGTGTACTGCTAAATAGTCATAAACTGGGATTAAGACATCTATTCACTGTTTTTCTTTACTTGCAATGATTCTCTAACCTCCCTCTATCGGCTCTTGTGGATATCTACACTGAAACCTTTTCAATTGTTGGTTTGAAGGGATTTGATTGGTTATAGGTTTGATCGTGAGTTGACATCAGTTAGAGAACCACTCGAAAACCTTGGGAGTACTGGGCAGCTGTTTGGCATCCACTAGAATTTGAACTTCGAGTCTTCCGCTTACAAGGTGAGGTTGTAGACCATCCAGATTATTCGAATGCTACTCTCAAGTCTGTGTGGAGGTCAACAGCACTCACCATCAAAAATAAGATCCGGATTTTCAACTCCAATGTGAAGTCAGTGCTACTTACTATATGGATCAGAGACTTGGCGTGTCATGAAGAGCACTTCGAACAAACTACAGACCTTCACCAACAGCTGTCTTCGCTCAATACTGAATATCAGATGGCCGGCCAGAAAAGATCAGCAACAGGGATCTCTGGTAGAGAACCAACCAAGAACCGATTGTGAAACAAATAGGCAGGAAGAAATGGAGATGGATTGGCCATACTCTGAGGAAACCATCAAGTGACATCACTAGACAAGCCATGCTCGAGTGGAATCCGAAAGGGAAGCGGCGAGTTGGTCGTCCAAGGGTGACTTGGAGGAGGTCATGTGAAGAGGAGATGAAAGCATATGGGCAGACCTGGAGCCAGGTGAAGACTCTAGCAGAGAACCGAACGCAATGGAGACGTGCGCGGCTGAAGCCCTATGTTCCTCTAGGAATTAAAGGAAATAATAATACTAAGAAAGAGTCCTAAAGCAGGAGGATAAAACACACTTGTCCAGTACTCCTTGTTGGTTTTCTGATGGTTCTTCAGCTGAAGTCAGCTCAGTGATAACACCTCTCTACCTAATAGTTATTGGATTAAATTATTCTCTCTACACATATATTTGATTTTACAAATGTTTAGTGATTCAAACTACTGCACATATTTATACAGAGTTCAACGTTAAAAATCCAGTTCAGTGCCTGTTGTTGTTCTTGCTGCGACTACTTGTATTGTCGTGACCAGTAGGGTGCTGCAGCAGGTTGAAGGTGAGGCAGTAGTAACCCATCAAAAAAGACATTGCGAAGTGGTCGTGCTATGTCATGAATTGGCAGAAGTTAGAATTCATGAACTGGCCATTGGATCGGGTCCCAGTGGCTGAATGGTCTACGAGCTCGCTAACTTGTAACCAGAAAGTCCTGGGTTCGAATCCTGGTGGGTGCGTAGTGTTGAAGAGTCTCTAACTAGGACAAGATGGCTGTCCAGTACTCCTTTCAGGTTTTCCAATGGTTCTCTAACCGATGTCAGCTGATGATGAAATCTTGTAACCAATCAAACAAAATCCCTATAAAACCAATACTTGAAAATAGATTTGATGCTCACTTGTGACTGGCCCTATTCAGGCAGCGATCTGGCGTTCTAGTGGGAAGCCATGACCAGTAGGGTGCAGCAGGTTGAAGGTGAGGCAGTAACTCATCAAAGAAGACATTAATTGTTTGTTTCAAGGATATTTTGACGATGATGTTGTAATCTATTGGCTTTGATGGATAAATAAACAGCTAATAGGAAATTTGGTGGTCACTACTAGTTTGAGTCCACCTCTAATGATTTCATTCTCTCCTTCACCTCTAATGTCTATTTTTGCTCAGTTGCCCTGGTTGTATTGATTTCCAATTGATTGAAGCAAAGAAATGATGTGCTTTTATAAAAAAAACAAACAAATTACTATTCACGTCATCATAAATACGTTCGTTATTGCTGGCTTGGACGGTTTCGCATATTTCGTTTTTTTTTCAAAATTAAGATTTTGATATTTGATATTCATTGATTAATCAGACTTTGTTTTTTTTATTGATTTCCTTCGATTTTTATAACTTTAGATCTTGCTGGTCATCACAGTCAAATCAATACTTTAAATGATTCAGATCAAATGATGAATTCACCGTCAACAATCAATTGTACTAAATGCAGTACGCCTGAAATGGAACGTGCTGCCAATTCCACCTGTATAACTCGTATCTCTGGTTCAGGGGATAATATTGGCCCACGGAGTAGCAGTTTAAGCAGTGGTCGTGGAAGTAGTGAAGGGATCGGAAGTCGTAGTGGTAGTGGTGGCAGTGGTGGAGCTGTTAGTCGTAGTAGTAGCAGTGGTCACGGCGGAGCGACTGCAATGATTCTCTGTCCATCGTCGAGTGTGAACACTGCGATACCACCGTCGAGTAGTTACAGTAGCTCGGGTAGTAATTCTAGTACAGGGAGTAATCCATCGGCGTCTAATGTCAGTGGTATGGTGGATCATCTAGTGCCTGGACCTGGACCAATTCTTCTTCCGCATAAATTATCATCATTTGGAGTGTCTAACTCTTCCTTCTCCACGGTTGCGGCTTCCACCTCTGGAGAAAGTGTTAATATGGCTAATTCAATATCCGATTGTCAAACTGTTCACTCACAGCCTACTTTACCTCCTTTAGCACCTGCTCTTCATAATCATCATCATCAGATGTATTCAGAAAGAGGAGGCGGTGGTACTCGTCAACCTCCGGCTTATTATTATCATGCTAATGCAGCAGCAACAACAACTCATCGAGGGATTACAGAGTCTGGGGTAAGTTTTAATATAATGGGAATTTTCATATCGACCTTATGCGATAATTACGAATAATTAATTTTTCAGCCAGCCTCTCGATTTGTTAGACTTATGTCGGCCTCTCCTAGCTGAGGATCTGTGGTGACTCTGTGTATTCGATCATCACTCGGTCGGTCGGTCGGTTTTCGATATAGAACTGTGCACATATGTGCGGCAGTTCAAGTCGCCACACTCCCTCCTTGTAGCACACAAAGCAAGAGAAGAAAGTAGGAGAAATGCATAATATAGACAGTAAACAGGGGTGTGAGACAAAGGTATAGTAATAACGAAGAACAAAACAGTTTCATTGGAAATCATAAGTCACAAGGAGTGGATGCATCTGCGCTAGCCATTGACAACGAGGATTTTCAGCCATATCACCGATTGTCTCCAGCCATTGGTTTTTACCGTCCCGAGGACCCCAACCAGGAAGTCTACACCTTCCTACTTGGCTTAGACTAACTGTTGTAGATTTCATTGACTGGTGAAGCCATTTTTTGGTGTGACCACCACATGCTAGCTCTTTTCCAGCCTGACCCTATGTCAGCTAACATTTCCCGTCAGTCGAGGAAGGCGATGACTAGGCATACGTAACACATGTCCTAACCATCTCAGTCGATGTAATTTCACAGCCTCGTCAATTGATTTCCCCTCCAACTCACCTAGCACTCGACCGATGCCTAACCTCAATATTGCTCACCTTATTATACCACTTCACACACACGGGAGATAGAACGCAGACACCTATGATCGAAGACAGCTAATCTTTTCATGTCTTCCACTCTCAATGATCAGGTCTCATCGCCATAAAGGAGGACGGAGCGGACTGTTGAGCAGTACACACGCCCTTTGGTCGATAGTCGGATATCACGTCTACTAGGCCAGAGACGGCGTAAACTGGCATATGCGAAACCAGCCCTCTGTATTCGTGCTGAGATTTCGTCAGAGATCAACCCGTTGGCGTTGGCTGATAGTACTTCCCAAATAAGTGAAGCGGTCAACGTGTTCTACCACTTCACTTCCTAGTTCTAATCGATCATCACTGCCTCCTCTAGAATCACTTGCGTCTGATGGTATCCTAGTGCAACTGATTTTGAGGTCCAGTAGTGTTTGTTTGGACACAACGAAGATCACCAATCATTGAGTGTAGTCATCTTAAAACATCTACCTCGGTGGCTTGGATATGTGCTATGAAATGTCATCCTAGAAGCTCACTTATCGGTGACTTTTCGGAGAGGTGGTCAGCCCATGTGACGTGGCGCTCTGGGATGAAGGATATTTTTACTAAGTAGGTTAACAGCATCAATTGCTACATCACGACTCCCTAGTTGGCGTCCAAGAGGTAGCTCAAATCGGTGACTCGAAATCTTAAGCAGATATGGTCAAGAATCGTGATCACAGTGACAAACATGCTGTAATTTCCTTTTCCCTTGCATTTTTGAAAGTAATGTGAAGCGATGAATGTTGAACGATGGATGAGCTTACTTCCTTTCTGTCTGGATGACGTCCTTCATTTTGTGTGGCGCATCCCTGGATGCACATAATGTACTACTACCAAGTCTGTGTTTTGAGTGATGATTGAAAAACAACTTGATCATTGTCGGATCCGCCATGTGAATGCCACAAGGCTAGTTTAACTGAGAAAAATTTCATTATTATAGAACAGCAGTTCAAGTTGTTACACTTTATGAGAAAGCACACATATAAGTAAAATGGACAACGAATAATTACATGAGGTATAACGAGGATTTCATGAATATGAAATATCGAACTACTTAGTGCCATATCTGTTATCTGACTGAATCAGTGGCTTGAGCAATCGACTTTCAGCGCCAATGGTCCCTGGATTCCGACATCAGACTAGTCATATTGTTGTGAGAGCTGGCTGCTAGCTAAAAATTGTAGACAGCAATTTACTTCAGTGTTACGTCCTGAATCGGGGTCATGAGAAAAAACAATAATAAAGCTTAACATTGAGGAACTCAACAACCAGTCACAGAAGACTTAACATGTGCAAATACGATTCGCAGATGTATGGCTTAACTTTCTGAGAAATGGTCACAAATAGATGACAGAATAACCCTCAGCAAGAAAGCAACCAATCAGATGACGTTGCTTCTCTGCTAACAATAACGCTAATAATAATGTACATAAAAATCCAATAATAATAATAGTAATAGTAAGTTTGTTTCAAACAGTATTCTCGATTCAGTTTGAAAATCTTAGTATGTTATAGATTATTGAATCTAATGTTCTGTTGGTATAGTATAGTGAGGGTAAATACAAAATTAACTGTTATAATACAGCTTAAATTATGTCCACACTTATGAAAAAATATAAACAAAACAAAAAATTGAGAGGATTATAAATAAGACAAATACAATAACAATAAAGGTTGATGTTGTAAGGGTGGAGGAAATGGTTTATTTAAAAGTGCAAAGAAGGTTACTTAGTTCATGCCTGACACTATTTTCATCACATAAAGTACGTGCTAAATATGGTATAGTGGAATTTTTATACTTAGACGTACATGCGTAAAGTTTCCTGAAAAGACTTCTTGTTTTACCTGAAGAGACACAAGGTTGGAGCTGCAGGTGAAGTGGATGCTCACAGTCTGACAAAATTCCTTTAGCGAATTTGTTGCATGACATCAAGTGCCTATCAGTGTCAATGTCAACGATATGGTTCGGTGGGATACCACTCGTCCTACTGACAGTCTTCAGAGTTCTACGAAGTATGACATAGTCTTTTTTAAGCAATCCAGGAAAGAATAAGGGTGAACAGTAAAGAAGAATAGGTAGAACACACGAGTTGACAAACTGTAAGAGGAGGGGTTGGGTTATGCTTGAGTGCCTCAACTTCTTAATGTAAAAAGTCAGACGAAATATTCTTTTAGAAATCGCTAAGACATGAGAAGACCAGGATAGGTCAGAAGAGAGAATTAATCCAAGATACTTAATGACAGACTTGATTTCTATGTCATCATTATCATCAATTTTGCAAGGGTCATAGAAACCAACGGCTTCATTTAACTTTCGTTTACATCGGAAACTGAAATTAACAGTCTGACATTTAGAAGGATTAAGTTAAAGGCCGTTAGATGAAGACCATTTGCTAATTCCTGATAGAAAGTTGTTTATCTTAGTACAGTCAAGCTGGGAGTTAACAGACATTGAAATAGTTAGAGCATCGGCATACTCTAAATATCTGTTGATTTTCTGAATAAACGATCTGTTGCCTGGTCTTTGTCTTCTGTCGGTACAATATAGTTGGTATCGTCAGTCTTTTAGTCACCAGAAAGAATTTTTCCAGTCTGTGTAAGACACATTTGACGAGTCGGGTCTGATGATCACTATGCAATCGCCTTTCGAATGATGTAGGTGTGTCAGATTCCGAATAACAGGACCTATTGGCTGAAATTTGAATAGTTAAGTAGCCTAGTAGCCACATCATTATTATTGTATTGTTATTATTGTTCCCTTGGGTTCCTAGTGGAACATAGGGCTTCAACTACACGTCTCCACTTGCTTCTGTCTTCTGCTGTACTTTTCACCTGCATCCATGTTAGTCCATACTGTTTCAACTCCTCTTCACACGATCTCCTCCATGTCAACCTTCGACGTCCCACTCGCCGCTTCCCTTTCGGGTTCCTCTCGAGCATTGGCCTGACGCGCGATGTCAACCAGCGACCTCCTCAGCGAGTGTCCAATCCATCTCCACTTTCTCCTGCATATTTGTTGAGCGATTGGTTCTTGTTTTGTTTGTTCCCATAGTTTCTTGTTGGTGATTCTTTCCGGCCATCTGATCATCAGTACAGAACGAAGACAGCTGTTGATAAAGGTCTGCAACAGGCTGTTGGAAATATTCTTTGTGACCCGCCGCCAAGTTCCTGATCCATCCGTATAGAAGAACTGACTGACTTGACGTTTGTATTGAAAATCTGAATTTTGTTGTTGATGCAGGCTGAGTGACGAAGATTTCCAGATTGGTTTCAGGTTGATGAATGTGTTTCTCGCCTTCTTGATTCTCTATTTGACATCCTCGTCCGTTCCTCCTGTAGTTGAGACAATGATCCCTAGATAAGTGAATACTTTACTTCGGCTATCTCCTACGGGAGGATGAGCCGGCTTCATGAACATCTCGAATCAAGAGAGTTCATGGAGTTTCATGGGAATTTGGTACGAGTGATGTCCCCAGAATCGCTCGGCCTTTTGTTTGAGAGTGCAGCTCTAGCCTTTACACAACCAAGTGTGACCTACAAGGCAGTAGAAGTGGAGTAGGGAGTCCACTATCCATTTGGAGCCGGTGACCGGAGTTCGGTTCATATGCCTTTTTGAATGGGGCCAGACATCCAGGACATCCAACAAGCCCTTTGTCCATACGTCTGCCGATGAGCTCCAGTGAGCTTCATACGCCAGTCGTTGGAGGTTTGGAATCAGGGTTTAGCCATCTCCCCTAGACTGTCATCCAATGGACAGCCAAGCCGGTGAAGAGCGCCGGGCATCCGCTTTCGCCCTCTCACTTTGGTGAAAATCACCTCCGCCACGTGAAGGCAGTGAGTAGGACTTCCTCAGGAGAGGCTATGTAAGACGCCCGGTCATATGGGAGCATTTCAAGAGGTGTGTGGAGGGGTGGCCAACCCGCAGCGCATGGCACCCACCCCCGACCATCCTGAGGCTTTGGAGGCTAGATAAGTGAATGAAGCCACATCATTATTGAATATATTTGTGCGTTGAAGTTTTAGTAGCAACTTGGTTAAGTTTTGGGGGTGGAGTTGCTAGCACCACGCCCCAACCCTCCCTCTTTATCCGGGCTTGGGACCGGCTAGAATACTAGTGACCTAGTAATCTAGGCGAGGTTTAAGCCACATCATTAGTACATCAAAAAATCTCTTTTGGCAGGTGAGGAACAAGAGTGATTTTCTTTCCAAATATATTTTCTATTCTAAAAATTTACTGTTTTACTTGATGATTCATCTCTTTGTTTGATATATTGTTCCCAGAATTCAGATTATGAATCAAGAGCACTGGGAACAGACTCGTGTACAACTGCGAATCGGTCTATGCCGTCTCCTTACATCAACCAGACAACATCGTCATCCGTATCGATTTCCTCTTCTGCACCGCCATTTCCCTCGACATTTTTACAATCTACCAAGCAATCTCCTCATCCTCACAACACCAACAACAACAACAACCGGATTTAATTAGTCAAATCAATTCACGAATCCCTTGGCGTCCACATATTCATCATCCTCCGCCACCGTTATCACCTGGCCTACCAAGACGATTTATTGATGGTGTCCTCCCGACTGACACTTCTGCGAATCATCCTCATAATAATAATAATAGTAATGTGATACAATATTGTTCATCAGGTCAATCATCTCCTTCACCGGCTGGTTCAGCTACACCTGTACCCACACCGAGACGTGAATCACTCGCCGCTGGCGGCGGGGGTACCCCATTGTCACAACGAATTGCAAACTTACCTCTTGGTAGTAGTAATAATTATAGTCATTCAATGAATACTGGAATAAATCATGATCTATGCGATCGGACAGTTGTTACTAATAATAGTATGATCTATCCGCCTCCAATTGCTACACGTCCAGAGAAAACCAAGTCTATAGTAAGTTATTATCATTGTTACTATTGTGATTATATTTTTTATGATGGATGTTTCAATATCAATCAATCTATCAATCGATCGATCAATATTGTTGAACAAAACCACCACTTACAGTCACGTACTGACTGGAGAACTTTATGTGCTTCTGGATGTGCGTGGGTGATTATTGTTACTTCTCGGTCGCTCACATCATGGGATTTGATTTTTTTCTAGGCGTACCTAAAACAGAAAGAGGATTGGTGTTGCGTTATCCCAAAGTTCAGGAGACAATCGCTTGAGGTCACTGAGTTGATTATTATAGGTGTTACTAAGTTGTTATTAAGAACTTACCTCTGGCTACGGACCGCCGTAGGGTAAGTTGAGATGTACATTTTCCAGGGCCGATCTTTTCTAACTCCCCCTCCGGAGTGTAGGAAGATAGCTCAGCTGACCTACCGATCATCTGAGGGAAACAACTTACTGCTGCTGTTATATCCCCATTCGCTAGCAGTACAACTTCATCCGCAGACCCCCAGAATAGTGTAAACATCTTACACTTTGCCGGTAATTGCGTTTAGTCTAGTCGTTATCCTAACAACCTTTCCTGTTGTTGTTGTTGTATCCTTTAATTCCTAGAGGAACATAGGGCTTCAGCCGTGTGTCTCCATTGAATTCGGTTCTCTGCTATAGTTTTCACCTGGCTCCATGTCTACCCACATGTTTTCATCTCCTCTTCACATGACCTCCTCCAAGTCACCCTTGCACTGACGACCAACTCACCGCTTCCCTTTTGGGTTCCACTCGAGCAATGGCTTGTCTAGTGATGTCACTTGATAGTTTCCTCAGAGTATGGCCAATCCATCTTCATTTCTTCCTGCCTATTTGTTTCACAATTGGTTCCTGGTTGCTTCGCTCCCAGAGATTCCTGTTGCTGATCTTTTGTGGCCGGTCATCTGATCTTGAGTATTGAGCGAAGACAACTGTTAATGAAGGTCTGTAGTTTGTTTGAGATGCTCTTCATGACGCGTCAAGTCTCTGATCCATATGGTAATTAGCACTGACTTCACATTGGAGTTGAAAATCCGGATCTTATTTTTCATGCTAGGTGCTGTTGTCCTCCACACAGACTTGAGAGTAGTGAAAGCTTGTTTGCTTTTCCGATTCTTGCTTTGATATCCTCGTCATTTCCGTCGGCCTGTAGTTGAAACGATGCTTCCCAGGTAGGTAAAGGAGGTTGTTTCTTTTAGGTTCCTTCCATTTATGTCGATTGTTGTCTGTTGTTGGTGTTGCTGTTGGTGGTGTTGGCCAGGAATCTTCATTACCTCTGTCTTCTCTGTGTTCACCTGAAGGCCTGTCTTTGATGCTTCTTATGCCAACTTGTTGCTTTTCGCTTGCATATCTTCCAGTTTGTGGGAAATCAGACAAATATCATCGGCGAAGTCCAGATCCCCCAAGTATTTTGTGTGAGTCCATTTTATGCCTGTTTCCTCATTGCCCGCCGCTGTTTGTCGCATTATCCAGTCTACTGCAATCCTGGCTTAGTAGGATCTCTGGGGATTAGACGTCCCATCTAGTTTAGCTCGTTGGGTCATTTCTAAACATGCAAGCCTGACCACTACATCAAAGTAGCAGCTATCAGTCGGGACAATCGCATACAGTTTACAATAGGCACGTCATTTGTGCACATGCGGGCTAAGTGATATACTACTTGGCTTCGCAAATCTCGGTAGATTGAACTGGCATTCGAATCTCTGATCTTACTGGCTGGAAGTTGAGCGTCTAGCTAGACGACAATGGCGCTTAATAAAGTTTCATTAAATATCCGTGTAGTTATGTCAGCCCTCATTTTCTGTTCACTATTGTCATACGTGATAAGAAATTAATGGAGTGTATGTGGATTTCCTCCTCCTCAAACATCATTTGTAGGAGAATCATTGGAAAATAAGAAACATTAAACACAGTTGTATCGTTGTCATAGTTCGGGATTCTTCAGTAGGGCACACATCCGTAACTCTAATAGCGATGGTATGATATGATATGATATGATATGATGGTATGATATGATTATGAGCAATAGTTTGTGCTCGAAACGTCATCAGTAAATATTACTCTATAACACTGTGAGACTCTATCAAAATAAAAATTTACCCATAATGGAATTACACTCTACCACAGTGCCCAGGTTTTATTCTTATATCTAATAGCGATGATCAATTCTAAGATCTTCAGGAAAGCGAGGTTAACCCCGTCGACAATTCAGCCATGAGCTTAGAATTCAACGACCTGTTTACCCTTCATTTTTTTCTGTTTTATACTTTTACGAAGTTTCAGTAGCAGTGGTGTTTTTATGGGATGGGGGATTGGTAACCTCACGTCTAACTTTCCCTCTTTGTCAGACTTACAACCGTCTAGGGGTGGTATATTTGTGAGCCGGCCGGTAATCGAACCCCAGATCACTTGCATAGTTGGCGAGAATTTTACCGCTGAACCACCGACGCACCACCATGTTTTATCCTAACTTCTGTTGTAACGACAGAAGACAAGGACCAGACGACAAATTGTTTATTGAGAAAATCAACAGATATTTATAGATTTTTATGCACATTATTGTCAGTGGAGAAGCAACGCCTTCTGATTGGTTGTTTTCCTCCTAAAGCTTATTTCGTACTGCTTGTAACCGTTTCTCAGAAAGTTAAGCCATGTATCTGCGAATCGTATTTGCACATGCTAAGTCTTCTGTGATTGGTTATTGAGTTCCTCAATGTTAAGCTTTGTTATTGTTTTTTTACTCATGACCCCAATTCGGGAGGTAACACTGACGTAAATTGTTGTCTGCCATTTTGGCTTATCCGCAGCTAGCTCTCTCTCACCACACTGTTAATTCGCGGTATTTAACGCTACTACCAATTAAACCCTCTACTATGTAAATATGAAGTGATTGGTAATAAATGGAGGATGTTAAGTGTGCCAACTTTTGCTTTTGATAGATTCTTCCAGCTTCAAAGTGTAGTCTAGTATTGTATTCTGATTGATGGTGTATGGTTGGCAGTTGGATCCAGGACGTGTGTTCCATCCTATTCGGGACTAGTTGGCTGGAAGTATCTGCATTCCTCAGTGAGTGATGATTTCCCTACTGAGACTCGAACCCTGCACCCATCTCGTTTCAAATACCGAAGCATTTATCCACTAGGCCACATGGGCCACAAGAGGCATCTTTTGTGCAATCGGTATCATTTATTATGTTGTTTTAGACTTTAATTTACATTTCCTGTTGATTGATTATGTTGAATACATCCAGTTGACGAGTCCCAGATAGCACGAAATGCACATTTTGGATTCCACTGCTAGCCGCCACAACATCAGCCAAAATAATTTCAAACAAAATGCGTGTTTTTAACACAGCACTGTAGATGTAGGTAAATGTATTATAATTATTATTAAAACATAAACTTGGTACATTGTAAAGGCACCAGGAGATGCGTTACACAAATCTAATAGTTTATCCAAAGGCTGGGATTACTACCCAGATGCATCAACCGAATCAAGTGGTTGTTTTCAGTGGTCTCACCCGCACCCCTCCGCCAGACCCTTTGAGATGAAGTCTGATCCACAAGACAATGAAGCACCGTTAGATACTGCGTTCCCATGGTTCCATACGGCATTCGACGATCCCTTGAGGTTCTGGAACCCCAATGTGCACACTACATGTTTGCGATCAAGGTTTTGTCAGCTTCCAGTCAGTTTTTAAGCTCTAGACGTTCTCATTCACCCTTTCACTTCTGTGAGGAACACCCTCGCCACGTGAAGGTAGTGAATAGACGTCACCTGACATGAACAAGGCATGGTCATATGAGAGCATTTAGAGAGAATGAGTAAGACCAAAGTCTACGCACGTTTATAAGAATAAAACTTGGGCACTGTGGTAGAGTGTAATTGTGCTCGAAACGTCATCAGTAAATATTACTGTATTACACTGTGAGACTCTATCAAAATAAAATTTACCCATAATGGAACTTCGCACGCTTAGTCGTACTAGGTCGTTTTTGGGGGCAAATGTGAACCATCTATTGGTGCACGTTTACGTGTTTCATATATTCCTTCGTCATTTGTAAAAACTAAATCAAGTGTTATGTCAAGTCGAGTGGGGAATTTGACAATGTTTGAGTGCCCAAGTGCTTCAAGGAAAGAGCAATCTGACGAGTTGAAGTCCCCAGTAATAACAGATAGAGAGTTGTCGAAGTTGGCAGCGGCAAACATGGTGCATTCGTCAGCAAAATTTGAAAGATTAGATAGTGAGCAACTTGGAGAAATGTACATGTTTGTAACAAAGATATGTTTATATTTGGGGAGATGTTTGGAACGACATTTGACGGTAATACAGTCTATGAATTCATTTGAGAATGAGAAGCAGACATTATTAGAAATAGACCATTTGAAGTGAATAAAAGTTGCAACGCCGCCCCCATTTTTCTTATTACGACATTGTTGGTCTTGTCTAAACAGGATAAAGTCCCTTAGTGAGATGAGATTGTCATCATACAGTTCATGTAACCATGTTTCTTGTAATTTGATTATTGCAGTATTATGATAAGTGTCAGTGGACATTAAAGATTGTAGGTACATTATCTTGTTAGGCAGAGAGAGGCAGTTAGTGTTCATTATGACAGGGACCGTAGTTAGGTGTATTGGTGTACGTTTAAGACCTCTCTGCCAACCACTACGATACTTCCTCCTTGATTTCTTGGGAATATGAAAGTCATTGGGTCGTAAGTGATCCTTTTAGAATTCATATTTAGGTGATAAATAGATAGGAGTAAACAGTAGATTGGATGCAATATGTAGATATTATGATGGCAGGCTCAAAAATTCGAACAGGCTGCCAAGGTCAACAAAGCCTAAGTTGGTTAGTTGGCAACACAGTAGGGAGTGTATAGTGTAAAGATAAATACAACTGTAACTCGTTTCTTGTGCCTCTCCCCCCCCGCTCACCCAAAAAAGAGGGACAAGAAAACACATTGACA